CGGGGTGGAGTTGCTAGCCCCGCGACCCTCAGATTACGAGTCGAGCGCCCTAACCACCTGGCCATGCTGGGCCATCTTTGCAAGAGTTAGTGATCGTTAATACGGCATATTCACTCAGGGTGGAAAAAAAAATCCATTCTAATTTTATTATATTTTAACCCACGAAAGATATGATTAATTATTATTCCAGTAACATTAATGTTTGTCAATTCAACCTTTTTTCAAATAAAATTTTCACCACCAAGACTCACAAAAAAATGCTGTCCAAAAAATTACAAAAGCTATCAAATTAATAGGACCCCTCCAGTGGCCCAGCGGGTGTGTCTGCGGACTCACAACGCTAGAATCCGGGTTTCGATACCTGTGGTGGGCAGAGCACAGATAGTCCTTTGTGTAGCTTTGAGCATAACTACAAACAAACAAATTAATAGGAGTCTTAAAAGCCAATCAGATTACATTCATATATTTTTGAAATATCTTCACAAATGAAACATAGTTAATATTAAAAACATGTGTAGAGTTCTATCTTGTTTTGGAGAACCTTACCTGCATTCCGATGATGGCGTAAATGAAGAAAAGCATGGCAATGAGCAGGCAGACGTAAGGTAAGGCCTAAAATAATGATAAAGACAAAAGGTTGTTGACCCTTTTTAAAAATAATGAAAACTATATACAGAGATGCCAAGCAGACGTTCCTTTTCGTCACCAACATGTTCTCAATGATTACTGATAAACAACCTACAAACGGTTTACAAATTCAGTTACAGTACAGTAACAAAACTTTGGTGTAACATTTTGGAAATAGGATTTTTAACTGAACGGCGCCTTATGCGCGCGTGAGAAAAACCAGCTAAAATCATTGACATATCTCCAAGATTACTAGGAAGAAGATTCCAAATCAGGTGAGCTAGCCCTGCGTGTCCATATATAGGTGTCAGAGGGCATAAGAAAAGAAATATGAAAACAATATCATATTCATATTAAAATTATATTGTAATGGAATTTTGGTAAAGAAAAGTTAAAACTTTCGACCACTGTTTGAGAATATACTGTATACTATAGTCAAACAGAAGTGGTGTGTGTGTGGGGGGGGGGGGCAACCAGAAACACTACCCCCAAGATACGCTATTGAAAACTGACTTACTTTAAAAGACTGAATGAATGTCCATAGCAGAATTCTGATGGTGTAACCCTGTCGAAGAAGCTTGATAAGACGGGCAGCACGAAATAATCTCAAAAAACCCACGTTGAAGAAATTGACCTATAAAGGAACGAAATATATTTTAGTTTTTGAAATCTAAAGAGATAGAGAAAAGACTTTATTATGAAAAAAAATTTCATTTGTATTTTTGATAATCAAATACACATTATGTGGTATTTTTTGTATTTCAAAACGACAACAAAAGACTATTCGCTCAGTTTTCGTAGTGTGACTTTATATTACCTAAGTTATTAGAAACTTAACTCGTTATTTGGTATTGCCAATCTGAATGTCACCTTATACGACATATGGATTAAAGTACCAGGTCAGGCGTAGCAGAGTTCATCATTTCTAACTGCTGGGCGACCAGTTACTAGCGCTCGCCATCTAATTTTTACCAATTAGTAGAATGAACGGTTACTTTTATAACACCCTCACAGATTAAACAGCGAAACAATTTCTGGCGGCAAACAGTTAACTACAAACATGATTATCGACATTCTTCGAGATTTAGAAACTATTAAACTGACATCCAGTACAATACAGACATCGCTCGAGAATGCAAGGTTTAAGAATGCACTTAATCTGAATTTAAACTAAGGCTTCAGTATTTCCAGTACCAGAATACAACAGGTTGAAAATATTCAAGAGACTAGATGTTTAGATACAAGACATATACAGGCTAACAAACTTTTCCTGTACCTACATTTTTATGTCAAAGATTCTCTGTGTTTATTTTTCTTTAGGATATTTGCGGAAAGATACACAAATGCTGTTAGATATATGCGACTGTTTCAGTTTATGTTTAATGCGAGCAGTACCAGATAGATATACATGTATATATAGCGCGGAAGTCATAATTAGTTACTTTTAGAAGCGATATTTTCCGGTCAGTTTGTTTTCGTAACTGTTTACGAATCATACGTTTTGTAAACAAATTGGTATGAATTAGCGATTGCTTACAGTAATATGTTTATTGCGTCACGTTGCTAGAACTTTCCGAGTTTCTCGTTGGTTTATTTGAGTATTATTGCATTAGAATGTCTAGTATTGAGTAGAATATTCTAGACTTCTGTCGGGGTATAAATACGCGTCGAAAAATCATTATTTAGTTTTAGTTCTAAACTGCGTGATTATGAGTTTAGCGATAAAGAGTGTATAGTGGCGATTTTTAAAGTGAAATTACCACAGACTGTATTGTAATATCAGAGTAGAGAAAAATAATTCGTTTTGTCAATTGTGTTCTAAAGTAACTGAACCAGTCTGTGTGGACTTTGAAGAAAAAAGATACAATTATTTTAAAGCTCTGGATACAACTGTAGTAACCAACAATGTAATGAGCATTTGTATATACGTTTGATTGTTTTTAATATATCATTTTTAAACAAGCGAACTGTATTGCTGTTTGTTTATAATTGAAATTTATCGCCAATATGTCACAAACACTTGCAGTAAAGAATCCAACCTACAAAACCAGACAAGTACTATCTGCGCTAGCGATCCATAATTTTGAACTAACAAACTAGAAGAAACGCAACTAGTTAACAGAACCCACCGCCAACTTTTTGGGCCATTCTAATCGAGTAGTTGGATTCGGCCATCGCTGTTAACTTCTCTACACATTATGTCTCAACGTTAAACATGGCCCTGGAATTGCTTAAAAAATGTTTGAAACATCGACGAGCATCTGTATAAAAGTTTGTTAGAATGCCTTCTTAAATATAAAATCTTATCATTCATTCGTACCATGAGCTACAAAAACGTTTTTTGTTGTATTTTTCTGTTGGAGTCAAAATTGAGACCAACAAAGATGCTTCCTGAACTTGAAAACTAAAATATACTCTATGTCACATGTGAAGCTACTTAGAGTTCCCACTCCATCAACAAAAGCTAGAAGGTAATTCGTTCATGATTTTGGAAAGAATGTAGAGGTAATTGTTTAAGAGTAATTTAAGACTCGGCTGAAGTCAAAAACGTATCGCCATCTGGTGGTAAATAGTTGTACCAACAATACTGAAAACCTTTTCCGCTTCCTGTATTTTCTTGTAAGTTAGTACCAATATGTAACGTTCAATAATAGTTCTAAAGAATAACACAGGCAGCTAAGCGTCGAGTAGCCCTTTTAAACAAACTTTCAGGGTTATAACTGTGACATAAATTCAAATTCCAACAATAACTAACTTACTTCATGGTGACTTACTTTCTCTACCACCACCCCTCCTTCATCTAGCACGAATCTAAAAATTATTGTATAAGCCTAGTTGATGTTCCAAAAACTATGAAATTAAATATTGATGAAAATGATTATTGCACAGCAACTATTATTTACTCATAAGTGGCTGTAACTGTGTTGTAATAAGAATATGATTTTTTCACATCATTAAAATGTTTTTTCTGTGCTTCGAACAAAATATAAACTTACCCCTATTTCTATCACCAGTGCGTCCACGACACTTCCAACAACAGTAATAAAGTCGAAGGTGTTCCATCCGTCACGAAAATAATTCTTTAAGATTATGAAAGAAAATGACTGACATCAGGTTTTGGAATTTCAGTGACTTCTACCATGGTTATGTTTAAAGGCATCTAATGTATAAGTATTTTTACTATTACGACCTTTTCACACAGTATTTAAGCACTAAAGCTAGTATTTTAAAGAGTGCTATATTCTATCTTTTTGTACTTTTTAAATTTTCACGTTATACATCATACTTTAACGTTACACGTCATACGTTATATTCATTTCAATAATATTCTCTACTCACATTTGTGTATAGAACTTGTTACAAGACTCATAATTTGCAAAACAACGGCAACAACAAAAAATTATTTGTATTTATTTTAATCAAAATGCTAAATGAACCAAATAAGAAACTTAATCAAATATTAGTTTCAAGAGCAATAAATTCAATCTTTGCACAATATAGAACAAAATTTAGCACAGAACCTTGCTGCATGTGAAATGCTTACACGCTTGCTTTGAACGAACTCGTTTTTTAAATGATCTTAAACGTATATGAATAATTGTTTTCATTTTAAATTAATTTTCGACATAGTAATAAAATAGAAGAAAACGAAACTTAAAATAAAAATATGAGTAAAGTTAACACTTATGTCTTTTCAACACGTAATAAGTGTGATTTTTCAGGTAGCGTGGGTTTCCATTTTATTGGATTTTCAAATGCCTTTTCTTTTGGATTGCTCATGCTCCAGAAAATTGTCCTTCTATCACTATCTACTAGAAATAGAACTTTGTCAGCGTAATTTTAATTTCTAATTCGAAATGTACAACAGACAAACAAATATCTTAAACATTACTTAAAATCTACAGTTAATATGCAAAATGATGCAAATTTCATTTCATAAAACAAGTACATTACAAAATTGCATTACCTGATTTAAAGACGAAGACGACCCCGGAGGTTTATCCTTTGGATTGATTAGATTATTTTTTTATATCATAACCACTATACATGTCAAAGTAATGCACACTCATGTGATTACGTGATACTAATTCAAAACATAAATTTGGTAGACGATGTAGAGTAGGTTATTAAATAAAAAAATAGAGTGTACGATAAAACCACATCGAAAATAAAATTCACAAATTACGACAGATGGCATAGCAAACGTTTAGTGACTAGTTATGTTAAAATAAAAGTATTTATAAACAGCAATATACAATTCTCTTTCAGCTATTAAAAATAATTTCTTCATTACCCAATATCATTACAATTTGGATTACCAGTGCATAACAACGCACTTTTGGAAGGAAAATGCACAAAGTTGAAAGTATTTTACTAGATAATACGATTAAACTAAAACCTCGAGACTTGAATAGCATGACACTAAGTTAAAGAATAACAGTGTTGTTACTACGTCCTTTAAAGTTTTAATAGTAAACAACTAAACCGTGAAACATCACTTTTGTTTCAATAAAGCAAATACTTCTTTAGAAACTAAACATTCAATTTAAATCGTACGAAAAATTCTGTATCTGTTAAATTGGCTATTAATACGTTTATTGCTTTTACTTTGTTTCAGCATTTCGGGCCACGTTACATAAAGGCTGTTTGAACATATACGTTTCTAATTTTGAACTGATAGAATAGTAAGAATAGTGAAAAGTAACCACAGTAAACAACACCAATCTCGAACTTTTGGGCAGATAAGTTTGCCTTCCTTACAGCTTTATATTTACTTTACTTTTCAATAATTTAGCTTCGGTTCATTTCATAGACTGCTATAAACACCTTTAACTACGTTTTTCTTTATTACGGGTTTTATTCTTCGTTTTTGCGAGTTTCTTTGTTTCAACTGGTAAAACCGTGTCATACACTGAACACTCGTAACTGTTTCATACTCTGTACACTATTATAAATACCGTTACTTTATTGTTTACTTTACGTGCAGTTTTATTAAATAAATTACGTTTACGTGAGTTTGTTTGTCTGACCGCGTAATTTTTTTTCAAATAGATCAGGATTTATCGTTTGTTTGTTTTGAATTCATGCAAAGCTACACGATGGCTATCTGCGCTAGCCGTCCCTAATTTAGCAATCATAGACTAGAGGGAAGGCAGTTAGTCAACACCACCCACCGTCAACTCTTTTGCCAAATAGTGCAGTGGTTCTTAACCTTTTTTTTGCTCCATGCCCCACCTCAAAAAATCTGATGCCCCCTTAATATAAAACAAATTTGGTGGTGAAGAGGTATAATAATATAATGTAAAAGTTAGAAATTTACCACAATTTCACACCCAAATGAAAATTTTTTCCTATCGTAGCAAATGATAGAATAAGGAATATTCAAGCGAAGGGCATGAAAACTACCGCAAAAGTTTTGAGGGTCGCGGCTAGTTACAAATACGAAACAGCTGTTGTGTTATATATGTGTGTTTCTATAGTATATATTCAAATAATAACTCACCTTGTATTACTGAGTGATAAATTTTTGTAACTATAGTAACAACAAGTAAAGTACTATAATATCTGTGAGACACCACAATTGTTTTATAAATAAGTGAAAAAAAATAAGTTGAGTTCTGATTTTTTAGGAGTAATATTTCATGAAAAAAAAAACTTTTCACTAATTAAAAAAAAAGATGTAATATCTTGTGGGAATTGCAATTTTTCAGATGGTGTTCAAGCATAAATATTTTGATTAAATTAAAATGAAAAAAAACCTTTCAAGAGGCCGAGTTATGATTCAAATCACTCTCAGCGAACAAGTTACTTAGTACTGACCACAAGTACGCTACCACTGATTGACCCAAGCAAACTGCCACCTTATAAGTGAAATTCTCAGTGTTGACCACAAGCAGTGTCAGTGACTGAACTAATTACTTCTTCAATAATTGATCCATGCAGAGCATTAGTTAAGAAGTGAAATAACCCCATTCTGACCTTAAATGTATAATCTGTGAACAGAGCAAGTTATGCAGTACTGATCCTAATTACACAGTGTGTGAATAAAGGAAATTATGTAGTACTAATCCTAATTACACAGTGCGTGACTAAAGGAAATTATGTAGTACTAATCCTAATTACACAGTGTGTGTGTGTGAATAAGGGAAGTTATGTAGTACTGATCCTAATTACACAGTGTGTGAATAAAGGAAATTATGTAGTACTGATCCTAATTATGCAGTGTGTGAATAAGGGAAATTATGTAGTACTGATCCTAATTACACAGTGTGTGAATAAGGGAAATTATGTAGTACGGATTCTAGTTACACAGTGTGTGAATAAGGGAAGTTATTTAGTACGAATCCTAGTTACACAGTCTATGAATAAAGGAAGTTACGTAGTACAGATCATAATTACAAAGTCTGTGAATAAGGGAAGTTGTGCAATATTTATTGCGAGTACATAGCTAGTGACGAACCAAGTGCGCCTTCAGTTACCGATCCAATGTAAAGCGTCAGTGAACAAGTACTGATCGTAATAACATATAATTGTTTAGAATTTCGCGAGGGATATCTCCGTTAGCCATCTCCAATTTCTTACACTAACGAATAGTGTAATTGACCGTCACATTATAACGCTTCCACGGCTGAAAAGGCAAGTATGTTCGGTGTGACGGGGATTCGAACCCGCGAGTTGAGCGCCCGAACAAATGGTTATCACTAGAAGGCGCTCACAAGTTTCTGTTATGGATTGTTTGGAATTACGCACAAAGCTACAAAATGGGCTATCTGTGCTCTGCTTCGATACCCAGTTTCTAGCGGTGTGAGTCCGCAGACATGTTACTGTGCTACTGGGGAGGGGCGTTATGGGCCAAAGACCTAATAAAGTTTGTTTGTTTGTTACGTTCTTAGGTTTATCAATTCCTTGGTATTTACTTCGATAATTTTGCTTTCTAAATGTAAGCTTTTGTCGGAAAGTACTTTAGAAGAACAAACACTTTATTGTTTGTTTGTTATGGATTTCACGCAAAGCTACACGAGGGCTATCTGCGCTAGCCGTAACCTAATTTAGCAGTGTAAGACTAGAGGGAAGGCAGCTAGTCATCACCACCCACCGCCAACTCTTGGGCTACACTTTTACCAACGCATAGTGGGATTGACCGTCACGTTATAACGCCCCCACGGCTGAAAGGGCGAGCATGTTTGGTGGGACGGGGATTCGAACCCGCGACCCTCATATTGCGAGTCGAGCGCTCTAACCACCTGGCCATGCCGGGCCAACACTTTATTAGTAGCTTATAGAATGGTTAGGTTTTTCTACCATGTTAAATTCCTAAAAAAATGAGATCGAAAGTACAGTTAAAAAAAGAGGTGATTGGAAGCTACCCCTTTATTTTGTCATTTGAAATGGCAGCTACGTTTATATTATGATTTTAATATATATATATATATATATATATATTTTCTTCGTAGTAACTATGCTTAAACGCATCACTTTCTATTCCGATTAAATCTAACAGTTTATTTTTTCATATATTTCAGAGGTTGAATTTCTTAAGTATATTATTGTATTTATATCAATTTGACAATTTTTATTGTTAAAATATATCAAATAAAAAGAAACATTACTCGTCAAAATACTTAGCTTCAGCTTCCGCAAAGGTCTAAACTCAGCTGATATTCGACTTTAACACTTTCTACCCTTTACAAAATATAGTACTGGGCGATAGCATTATTGAATAGCAAAAGATGATCGGTATTTTAGTAATTAAAAGTCTCAAGACGAACTTGAGTTTTGCCGACTAGCGAGTAAATATGGGACATAGGAGTAGGAACATTTATACTCTGAATAATGCAATTCAAAGGCCGGTCTTAACCAATGTTCCCTCTAATTTTTCAATCCATGTGCGGGTTCGTTTTCGTTCGTTTCTGAATTTCGAGCAAAGCTACACGAGGGCTATCTGCGCTAGTCGTCCCTAATTTAGTAGTGAAAGATCCCTCTAATTTTATAATATATGTGCGGATTCGTTTTCGTTCGTTTTTGAATTTCGCGCAAAGATACACGAGGACTATCTGCGCTAGTCGTCCCTAATTTAGCAGTGAAAGGCTAGAGGCAGCTAGTCATCACCAACTCTTGGGCTACTCTTTTACCAACAAATAGTGGGATTGACCATAACATTATATTGCCCCCACGACTAAATGGGCGAGCATGTTTGGTGGGGCGGATTCAAACCCGCGACCCTCAGATTGCGAGTCAAGCGCGCCCTAACCACCTGGCCATGCCGGTCCGTCCCCATGTGCGAATGAATTTTTTTCATGTGCACCGGTATCAAGCCAATGTGCGGATGTGCGCTACCACGTTTTTTTTGGGGGGGGGGTATTTTTATACCATCAACACTATTTAATCTTTAGACCACTTTGCAATGCTACCAGTTGGTTATTTGGGCTTTAGGACTATCGACTGCCAGGGTTCCTAAGGTCGTCAACGTGTTGAGACTCCTCACCATTACTGAGGATGTGCGCGACTGGAAAAATTAAGTGCGCGGCATTTGATTGGTTGTTGTGGGGCCGCGCAACTTAGAGAGAACACTGGTCTTAACAAAAAATAAAATGTTTTTTGAACTTCACGCAAAGCCACTAAACCTATCTGTGCTAGCTGTCTTTAATTTAGAAGCGATAGACTAGAGGAAAGGCAGCTGCTAGTCAACACCACCCATCATCAAATCGTGAGCTACTCATTTACCAACGAAAAGTGGGATTGTACGAAACATTAGAACGACCCCAAAGCTGAAAGAACGAGCCTGTACAGTGACGGGATTCGAAGTCTCGACCCGTAGATTGCGAGTCGAACACTAAAATAAAGGAGAAAACATGGCAAATGTCACAAAACACCCACACACACACTAAAATTTCGTCTTAAGGAGGCAGAATTTTTTAAAACTCGGTTATCCAAGAAATGAAGGAAAAAAGAATAGTTGTAAGATATGAAATAGTATAACTCTACCTTGAAATGATTCAAGTACCTTGTAAATAAATTAAAAATTCCGTATCGATAAGCTTGTAACATAATAAATCAACCATAGATACGAAAGGTAAATTGGAATAACAAGTTATGTATCCAAAAAGTCTAAAATGGAGCGATGATAACAAAAATAGCCACTAGTAGAACAACTGATCCCAAAACCATTATGTTTGGGGGGTGGGATGTGTTATGTGTGTTCATAGTTTATGTTGATTAATATGGTGTGTTTGCTTGTGTGTATGCGCAATGTCTGGTTTTCTTTTACACAGAAACCAAATTTTTATTTCTTGAAATGGTGACTTTGAGCTTTGACCTATTAAACTTAAAACTAATAGGGTTCTTTCTTCCCAACCCTGGAGATTTAAATATGATAGTTATGTATGGAAAGTAGATGTCTACATACAGACATCGTCACCCCCCCCCCTAGCCCCCTCTGGAATTATTATGACATATGTATACATATTTGGTTATACAAATGTGTTTATAATGGTCACATTATTGAACGAAATCAATTATTATTATTGGTTTCCACGAATAAACACAAATAAAAGAAAGGTAAAAAGTATAGCGTTTGAGGCAATGTTTGACAAATTATATATATATATATATATATATATATACCCAAATCTCCGATCAGAACCAAATAGGGATGCTACCAAAGAAACAAAAAACAAACACTAAGTCAGAAGTGGGAATATGTTGTTATTTTTTTGTGCAAAGCTACATAATGAGTTATCTGCGTGCTTTCCACCGCAGAGATTCGAACCCCGGATTTCAGCGCTGTAATTCTCAAACTTACCGCACTGCATGACCCACATAGGAGAAAATGGAAAATATGTTGATATATATAAGTGGTCACACAAATATATATAATTCATGATTATATACGTAGTAAAACATGTAAGATGAGTAATAAACAAAAAACTGTCAATTTTGACAAATATACGAGTTTACATGAAAGTTAGAGTGCAGAATTAATAACAGACAAAAAGTGGGATAACACAGGTTGAATGAAGATGTTACACCTAATCTTGAAAAAGTTAAGACGATAATTTAAGAAAGTTTTGATGATTGTTTGTTTGTTTTGAAGTTAAGCACAAAGCTACACAATGGGCTATCTGTGCTCTGCCCACCACAGGTATCGAAACCAGGTTTCTAGAATTGTAAGTCCGCAAACATACCGTTGTGCCACTGGGGGGGGGGGGCAAGTTGTAATGATTTAGGATCCTCGATCAAACAAAATTGACTAAAGACATGTCACTTCAAACTACGTTATGGAAAGTATTGTCACTTCAAACTACGTTAGGGAAAGTATTGTCACTTCAAACTACGTTAGGGAAAGTATTTTAGATGGTAAACATATATCAAAATTTAAACTTACGTCTCCGAGTCCGAATAAACAGATATCCAAGTATTCAAACAGGTTTAAATAATCAATTCGAGGTGATTGGCAAACAGTGTTGGGTACACCATTATTTCAGGAAGTTCAAATAGGAAAACCGTGGAATAGGATTTACACGTAGCTTAAAAAAAAAATTCGAAATTCGAGCAACTACCAAACAAAACAGGAAACAAGTTAGAAGCATAGGATAACGCCGCCACGAGTTTCAAATACAGAAGTCATGGATAGACTCTGAAAATCTCAGAAATTGCATATAATATCATGACTATAACACTGAATTTGAACTGGAAACTTCATCCTCGTTGTTTTTCAGCGAACATTAAGAACTGTTTCGTGTGGAACAAATAATTATGTAGAAAAGCATGGGATGTAGAAAAAAAGATTTGCCGTGAAGAATTCCAAGAATCTCAGCAATAATAGCCTAAGTAGAATCCGGAGAAACATAATGCAGAGCAGAGAGACTACAGTGTAATGGGTAAAATGAAGTATAATGATTAAAATTTTACATAGTCTGAAAATAATTTAAATCCAAATTTTAACATATTAAACGTTCAAAAGAGCTCTTTCGCCATCTAGTAACCAATGAAAATACTGCATATTATTAAGAACGAATTGGATTGGAATATGATAGTGAACATTTTAACTTGAACAAGGTACAAAAGAAGAGTTGTGCATAGATCAAAGTACAAACTTAAATATATGATAGTTTTACTTTGTTATAATAAGTAGAAAATGTGCAAGAAAGGACGTAATAATCAAATATTTTGAAAATATTTTAACGGCACAAACAATATTTGAAATGATTAACACCAGAAAATGCTGATGCTCATTTGTTTTTAAGTTACAGATCAAACACTGCACGTTAAACCTTAACACATACGTTAAAATATTGGCGATATTAACAAAATATTGAATGAAGCTCTTCCTATATTGAGAAGCTCTGTTATTTAACGCTGGTGTCATGGTTTTTTCATAGTATAGGACATCTGAACGTCAATAGAAATAATGCGAAAGCGTGAACCACGTGCTACTTTATTTGTGTTAAAGAGCAAAGTGCATAATGAGCTATCCTTGTTGTGTCCATCGTGAGAATCGAATTCCAATTTTTAGCGTTATAAGCTCTGTTGTTTACCGCTAAACCACGTGGGGGGGGGGATTAATCACGAGCAATATAATACGGGTTTTCAAGAGTTTGTACTCTAACTTAACAGTATTCAATACTTCCAAGTAAACGTTTATTAATTTTCCCCTTAAAAAATTAACATAAAAAGTAAAAATATAATCAGTTCATGTTGAAGACGAATAAAAATTTACATTATTATTCTTAATCAAACAGAAGGATCAATAATACATCAACATGTTAGAAGTTCACACTGAGTTTTCTTTCGTTACTTACTTGTGATTTGGTCATTTGTGATGAAAAAGAGTTTGTATCAACACTAGCCCTTCCTCGCTTTACTTTGGCATGTTCATAATAAATATACATACATTTTTATATACCATTTAAAATTAATATCTACAACTAGATGTAAGAAGGGATTCTAATTTATTTATTTTTCAGCATCAATTAACAAAATATCTAATTTTAAACAAAGAAATTAAAACAGAGCAACCACATATACATCTTTTTTTTTGCACAATCGAATAAATCGGATATTAGAGGTCTGAACAATGAATTAAAAAATTTTGAACAACTTCTTTTTTAAAAATAGCGAGCTTACTATAAATACTTAAACCGACTCTCTTAAGCCTGGCAAATTTGGTTATGAAGGAAATGAGAAAGTTCTTAATCTGAATGTTGTAACGTCCCATTTTCTAGTACAACTTTATGTATATTTAAGCTTGAGAATGTCGGTTTAGTATATTTTACAAATACACTATATTAGGCTTAGCATGCTCTATATTAGATAAATAGAAAAATATCAAACCTTGCATCCGAAAGCCACAAGTTTGAGGATACATTCGAGTAGGAAGAGTGTTGTGAAAGCCTCGTTCATGTAGCTTAAAATGTCAAGGTACAAATTGCCTGCCTTGTAGTACTACAACGGCGGGAAGGACGAAGGAAGAATGAGAGAAAACAAGAAAAATCGGGGTGGCAGGAATCAAAACTATAACCAAATTTCACAAAAATATATTTAGGGTTGGAGGGTTTAAGGTGAGAGACTGCAACCATTTAATACCAAGCAGCCGTATTTTCTTTAATATTTTATTATTATTTAGTTGATTAACTGGAGTAACCGATCGGAAAGTGTAAGGTAAAATCAACGTCTAAAACTGTACCACTTTAGATTTATTTTGAAATGATTGTATGTCTTAAAGAATAAAATTCATTTGAAACTCACTTGGAATTTCTCATTAGCACACCACCATTCAACTAAGAGGTGGATAGCTAATCATCATTTTTATTTTTTACAAAGTGTTAACCTCGTATATTTTAGCTTTATTTTTGTTTAAAAGGAGGGTGGCATGCACTCCCCGTAGTTTAAAACCTCGGCTAAAACACCATCATGCTACGTGTTAGTTTCAACATGAGATAAAAGTCAACATACTCTGCTAGGCCTAGCCAATCAATCCTTCACTAATGTATAGGACTTTTTGGTTGGCCTGGCGTGTGCTCGGTGTTACTTGGAAGCTATGCACCAGACAGGCGGTAACATGCTCATGTGGGATGCAGTCAAAGGAACAAGCAACGTAACTAAAAAAAAAAAACAAACAAAACGAAACAAAACTTCATTTTGCATCATTTAACCATGGCACGCTTTGTGTTAATGTTTTCTCACGCGCTGTGAAAAAGCGTTAACTACAAATCATTTCACACAGCACTGTGATCTAAAACTATTAATATAGCTATTGAAAAAATAGAGAGAAAGTCTACAAACATTTTTTTAAAACTTAACACCTAATCTGTAAATTGCCGACAAACAAGTGATTTTAATTTTTCAAACAGAAATATTTTTGTTAACTTTGTTACTTCGGTATTTCATTGAATAATATAATAATTAGATTATAATGCCAAACCAAAGAACTAATTAAAGATAATCAATACTGCTTTTTTTTTTTTGTTATCAAGGTCTAGACGTAGACTCCTTGTTGAAAATTTTAAGGTCATATATTCACTCATTGTTGAAAAATGTTAAAGCCATATTTCACTCATAATATCATGACCAAGCTATCATGATGCCGCTATACAAAATCTCAGACCAATTAAATTGGCAAGACAGTTTGTTTCACCATTCACGTTTTAGTAGGCATATCACATGCAGCAGTCTCTAAACCTGGTTGGCTAAGGTACAGACCTAATAAACTGAAAATATAATTTAACACATGGTCTCAAAACCGTTATTGCTTCTTTTGCTGTTCTTTTATAAAATATATACTGCTCTCGTTATCAGGCAAGTTCAAATTAAAAGTCATTGTGCTGAAATCAAAAACATGCTTTTAAGAGCAACTTTCAATGAAAGTTGTATAAAATCATTGTCAAAAATGTCACTTCAAATTGTGTTTAACTCTTTGAAAGAACCATCTTCATTTTCAACTGAAATACTCTAGTTTGTATTTGTTTGTCTTAATTAGGTTTTTCTTATTCAAAGAGTTAAGTTCCTGAGAGAGATAATATCCTCGTTGTTTTTCCGCGCTTGCATTTCATAATAAAAAATGTAACAAGTAAAATTCAATTTGTAAAATAACAAAAGTCAGAAAACTACGCCATCTTTCGTTTCTTTTCCTCTACACTACACATATTTACTAGTAAAATATGCCAAAGTTACTCTTTACTACAGAAATGAATAAAGCCGTCCCAGTGATCTCACCACTGGGTGTCATGATGTTTATTACTGAACTATATTTTACTCTAAGACATCAGATGGAAGATAGAAATTAAAAGCCAGAACGAAGAAGTATTAAGCCTACCATGTTTTCTGCTGTTGTAAAGAATAAAATAATGTTTCTGTAATTTCTGTCCTTAGAAGGATTCCCTTATCACTAAAATGACAAAATTACGTGGACTTTATGATTTGTTTGTTCGTGTGTTAAGCACAAACTACACAATGGGTTACCTGTGCTCTGCCCATAGCGAGTATCGAAACCCGATTTTTAGCGTTGTGAGCCCTCTGACGTACGAATGAGCCACCGAATGGGGAGGGAGGTGGTGGTTTTATGACGACTTTTAAGAAGCGCAATTGCTTGTGCCGACGCGCTTCGATAACCGATTGACGTTTCTTCTTCTGTTAACGGACGACGTTGTTCCTTCTATAATAAAGCTAGGTACCTCTAATTTACAGACAACTACTATGGACTCTCCGATTCACAGCTGATGCACGCCAAGCATGATCAGGCCATAATTAAGGTCATATTGAACATAAATATTGTTAGAACCTCTTCTAAAAGTATCTATCTCATTTGGGTAAAAAGAAGTGTAACATGTCTGAACTTGTGCTACTCAAGGCTGATTAATCAGGGAATAGTTTAAAAGAGTAGTCAGGTGAGTGGCCTGCGATGGAAAAATGGCATTAGTTGTTGAAGAACGTGGCATTTAAGTTGGGATAAAGAGCGATGTGAGGTTTTCAGACGAGACATCCAGTGTGGAGAGAAGGCAAAATTCCATGTCGGAGCAACAAGAAGGAAGATTTGTTTGGAGTTAAGCACAAAGCTACACAATGGGCTATCTGTGCTCTGCCCACCACGGGTATCGAAACCCCGTTTCTAGCGTTGTAAGTCCACAGACATACATCGCTGTACCGATAAAGTGACCGAAAAGCAGAGATGAAACTGTCCACTTCGGACGCAACAGATATCTATTTGATGAAAATTGAAGTTAGCTTACACTTCTAAATAACGACGAAGTAACATGCATTAGTTTTCCAATGTTAATTTGTCCTTATATAATTTCTATACGTAAAGCCTGGACAGCTCATTTACAGCAGTAATAAAAAAAAGATTTTGTGCACGAGACGAGTAGAGAATAATCCAGAAGCTATCCATGCGGAGGCAAAACGAAGAGAAAAAGAGCTGATACATCACAGGTGCCGACTTTTACGTTTCCCGAGACGGGTGGTGGAACCAAGAGCAGGGTTGTAAGTTGGCCCAATAATTCCGGAACACAATGAGATATGACAGGTTTTTAAATTTACCTCAAACTGAAATTAATTGATACATAACCATAGTAACAACCGAGGCAGCGTTTCGAAGTATGCAGCGGTGATTCGGTATCAACAAATTCATATCTAACTATTAAATTTCGGAGAGTTCCCCCCGCTCTGCATCTCTAAAGACATCATATAACAAAAATGATAATATAAGTACTCCGAGAACTAGGCACCGCCCTTTCCACAGAGAGGGTTTAGAAACCATAGGATCGCATGTACTCGGCGTCTGTGTTTATGGGTGAAAAATCCAGAAATGAGAGGCTTAAGTCACTCTCAGTAACAGAGAGAGGACGCTATTCGGGACAGTAGCAAAACTTCACATCTTATCGGTGAACTAGAAACAAATCATAAGAAGACAGAAAAGGAGAATTATTCCAAGCTCGGCAAATTAAAACATCGCATTTAACCTTAACTGCATGTCAGATAAAAAAAATCTAAAAAAAAACCATGTAAAATGCAAAAGCACAACAAAATTGAGCAACAAGAAACAAACGTTGTGAGATTACAAAACAAGTTAGTTGATACAATCCGTTGTAAAACGTTGTCGGAGAAGATTAATTTCCTGAAGAAAGCGATTAATGATCGTTCACAACAAACAAACAAATAATGATAAAAGGCCTTTGGTATCCTGGAGTTGCTGTTAATAGCCGAGTTGTTGCATGCTTCTTAGACTATGTCGTATGTATGTGTGGATGACGATGTTGTTTTTGGTTTGGGAAGGCAGCTAGTCATCACCAACCACCGCCAACTCTTGGGCTACTCTTTTACCAACGAATAGTGGGATTGACCGTCACATTATAACGCCCCCACAGCTGAAAGGGCGAGCATAGTTGGTGTGACTGGGATTCGAACCAACGACCCACAGATTACGAGTCGAGCACCCTAAACACCTGGCCATACCGGACCATGTTGTTTTTGATGCCAAAACGCGACTAAAACATATTTAACTCCAAAGTTAAGTAACAAATATCGATTAAGGATTTCTCCGTTCTAGAGCGACTGTAAATGTGTTATAGAAAAAAAAAGGAATTAAAATCATACAGTTATTAATTCACTTTTAGCATTTACCATACATCGAAAAGAATAATAGTTGAGAGAAGAAGATGCTAATTTGATGTTTTTCTCTAAGATTAAAAAAATATATAAGTAGATACTCTGATCTGGACATGAAATTAGTTACTGGATATTTAACTTGATATACAACAGAACAAAAATAAAGCAATGTATGTTCCATCTATAAAGAAACTGAAACAATGTTTTATACACATATTTATAAGGATTTTTTTTTTTTGTAAACACACGTAACTATTCAGCCTGAACTACAAGAGGCAAAAGCAAATGAGGCTGTTTCATATAGCTAAATATATACAACTAATAAAGAACAAACACATACTGACAGAGGATATTATCTTCTACTCAGTAGGAATTACACAAACACCTTTACTACACCCTTTTCTTACCCTGACTCCAAATGCAGCCAACTTCATTAAACATTCAACAGTAAAGAAAGCAGTGAAGGCAGCGTTCATGTAGTGCAGCAAACTCTTGAGAAGATTGCTTTGATTGTAAAACTAGAAACAGGGCGAGACACAAGAGCAAGGAAAAAAAAAGCAAGACAAATAAGATATTTCTGTAAGTGTATAAACAATGGTGTCACCACTCTGAACAAATATATTACTACATAAACATAAACACAAACACAACTTCAAAATACATTTATGAAACTAAAATGTAATGAAAAAATCAAAAGTGAAAGTCTGAAATAAATAACAGACTTATAACGAAAAGTTAAGAAAACACGTTAGATTGTTATAATGTTAATAATGCCTTATTTGCATTTAACCTCCAGTCTACGAGTCAATGAGATTGAACTTGGGGGACTGGGCGGGTTACAG